CTCACTTACACCTCTAAGAGGTGGGACGAAGGACACCCCCCGTCGGAGACTTATTTCTGCTCACTACGGAGTGAATCCCATAAAAGACTAGTGTGGAAAAATGTAAAATTGTTGTTTTGTACATAGACACTACTAGGTATACATCTCGACAGTACCACGCAAGTGTCGTGTGTGGTCCGTTCCGGAGAGAAAACGCGCTTTTGTAGTGCTACGTTTCTACGTCTATATGTGTAGTAAACTAACTCAACTCAAAGGATTAATGGTATTAAAAACCTGATATTCCGCGTGGACTTATATTCGGCGTCGTCGATTTAACTTACTACACATGTATATATTCGGCGTGACCTGATATTCGGCGTCCACAAAATTACAAATTAATGGTATACATTTCCCAAGCACGTGTCTCCCCTAACAGCCTTTCTCTACCGACAAACTCCTTTCGAGGGTAAATAATTGTAAAGTTGTTTGTTCAACGTATAAACGTATTGCATAAGTTCACAATCGTAAATCACGTTATCATCGATGTCTTGTACACGACCACATTTGACATGACATAGTGTATCGCAAAGTCTGTGTGTTTGCAAAGTTGAAAGTTTGAATTTGCCACGCGAGGGTCGCGTGTCATGGCCGTCACTAGATGTCGTCACCAAAAGTTGGTCACCATGCCCCTGTTTGACAGACCGAGAGCATTACAGACAGACATACCGAGAGTAAGACAGAGAGCATGGTGAGAGCCAAGGTGAAAAATGAAAACACGCGATGGACAGAGTGAGAAAAAGGCCGGAGGTCGAAAAGGACGACCTCGGGCGGCGAATTTCCACCCCCAGGCGCCTGGCCGGTATCTCAGGTATCTCAATTTCCACCACCTGAGATTGGACACTCCAGGAGATCAGCGGCAATCGACATTTTTAGGTATCTAATCGGCGTGGCAATATATATTGGCGTCGCAGCTTTTTTCCGCGCCGAATATCAGGCTTTTAATGCCATCAAACAAACGGACTAATTCTAGTTCTACTGAAATAATTAGGGTCCCCCCTAAGTCCAGAAGTGACACCAATATTTCAATGTGGATATCCGGTCTTCTAAGGGGGCACGTGGTCGTCCTGGATGTCTGTACGTGATTACCTCTCCACAGTCCCGGGTTACTGTCAACCCTCAAACCACGAAACGAGTTCCTGTTGAAGACGTTTCGGGTCCTCACCTGGCCGTGGAGAGGTCGATGATATACCTAAAACCAGACTAACCCTGAGCTGGGAAGCCAAGGGTTCGTTTCAGGAATGTCTCACTCGATGACTGTGCAAACTGTTTGTTAAGTAAGTCCAAAACTTGATTAACCTTAGTAATACACCTATAAAGGTCGAAGGAAGACTATGCGAGTATTCCAAGGACTTCTAGACCTTCGCGACATGCCACAAGTACAGTCACTACTGTTGCTACTGCCCTCACCAAACTATAGGAAAAAAATGATATTTTTATGACGATATGATGAATGTACATCAAAATTTCTACGTTACTTACCTTACCTAATGTCAAAAATCCCATTAACATGAAATGGACGCCAAAAAATGAAAAATAGACACTCGAAAATCAGTGCAAATAGTAATACTAGGGGAAGAGAAGAGAGAGAATAATTATTATATATGTAGATTACAGGTAGAGATGTGTGACCTCCGAAAGAACCCGGACATGCATTCCGTTTAGTAAGTTATGACAGTTACGTTATATTTTCGGAGTGTTAGTTTCGTATCCCAAGTCCACGACCAGCAGTCCCATTTTTGTTTCGTCGTAGTTAAACTTTACCAGAAACACAAAGGACACTGGTGTAATTATGTACAAAGTAAACTATCCTCTTCGTAGAAGCGGAGTCAGGACATGGAGTCACTTCCTCCTGCTAACAACCCATATATAGTACTCGTGAGGAGACCACCAGACGGCGTGGTGGTCTATTACTCCTCTCTATTTGCAGTTGACCCCTATTAAATATTACCAGTAACAATTGGTTAAATGGGGGGGAGGTGGTAACTTCCAGCAAGACATTGACAGGTCAAGAGGAGGGGGGGGGGGGGGCCTCCCACACACAGTCGTCCTTGGGTGGCCTCCAGGAGACGTCCCACCTCAACTGCGCGACTTGTAGTCGAAGGGGTGCTACCACCGCTACAACCCCTTTCTGGTCGCGTGGTGTGTCCTACGCCCACCGTCTCTACCAGGCGTCCCGACCGGAGGGGCCTATGCCCTGTCCCGTCGGTTAAGGGACGCTCTGTGTCTCTCGTTGAATATAATAATGGTTAGTTGTTACGTGAATTGTCACAAGTCACGTCTGGGAGTGTAGGTAGCACTCAAATGTCAAGGAGACACTTCCCCGCCACGATTGTCAGCACAAATGACAGGGAGACACTTCCCCGCCACGTATGCAACACAAATGTCAGTGAGAATTCCCCGCACGATTTCCACAAATGACAGGAGACACTTCCCCGCCACGATGTACCAAATGTCAGGAGACACTTCCACGCCAAGATGTCACACAAATGTAGGAGCCACTTCCCCGGCCCCGATGGTCACGCAAAGTCAGGGACACTTCCCCAGCACAATGAACTCGGCCTGGACCCTTCTACGACACTCCTAGACGTCCGAACAACGGTCATGAGGGGTGTCTGGGCGTTCGTGCATCAGGAGGGTCGCCTAGTAGGATACGGCTCTAGTCGTACTGCCACCTACCACCCGTCCGGCTACTCGTCACTTGTCCCCCAGGCGGGCGAAGGTCTGTAGGTCTGGGGAGGAATACCGGGTGCGTGGACCCCCCGTCTCCCCTTACTTTTAAGTTTTTGAATTTTTAGTTTTTTCTCTGTCACCGTGGAGGCTCGTCATTTGAGATGGGGAGTGGTGTACGGTATAATAAACCCAAATAATTCGTCGAAATACCACTTTTGGGGCTAAGACTAATTCACCCGGACGAGAAAAAGCTATCGGTCTGATAACGATTTCTGATACACGTCAGTAGTTAGACGTCTTTATTCAGACAGTAAATGTCGGTACTATGTGAAAAAACTTATAGTAAAACTATAAAACACCTCTCACGTTGTTGTGAACCTCAGTACTACCGACTTGACAGGGTCACTTCTTTTCTTTTTCGCGTTCTCCTCCTTTCTCCATTTTTATGTCTCTGGCACCTACAGTCTCTTTAGTCGTCTGTCCTTCATTTGTGATTGACTCTCATCGTCTTCTTCTGTCTGTCTTCATTTGTGATTGCCCTGTCGTCCTCTGTCTTTCTTTTGTGAAGTATGCCTCGCCCTCCTTTGTCGTCTTTCTCTGTCGTCCTTCATTGTGATTACCCTTGTCGTCTTCCTCTGGTCTGTCCTCATTTGTGATTGCCCTTGTCGTCTCCTCGTCTGTCCTTCATTTGTGATTGCCCTTGTCGGTCTTCCTCTGTCTGTCCTTCATCTTGTGATTGCCCTTTGTCGTCTTTCTTCTGTCTGTTCCCTTCATTTGTGGATTTGCCCTTGTCGTCTTCCCTCTCTGTCCCGGGGGGCAAGAGTTTACAGCTCATTTTGGACGGTTGATAAAGTTCATATTGATGTAATAACCCACCGCCCGTCTTCGACCCGGTAATTAATTGTACGTGAAATTTGTCAGGAAGCCGCGGGGTAGCTCACTGGAGTCGTAGGGAACTTTATCACCGAGACGTCGTCCAAATGAACTGTAACTCTTGCCGGCCTTCATTGTCGATTGCCCTTTGTGCCGTCTTCTGTCTATCTTCCTTCATTTGTGAGTTCCCCCTGCGTCGTCATACCCGAGACCTTCACCGGACTTCGTAGAGGTGGCGATTCGGTTTCCGCGATTTACAAGTCTACCTACTAACTAACAGGGAGTAAACAGTGAACAATCGTTGGCAACAAAATACTGCGTCTGTTAAGACTGTCCCGGCCGCCATCGACTCCGGGGATGCCTTCCGATTCGGAGGTAAAACCAAGTCGCGTAGGACTTCTTTTTTTTTATGTAATACATATGCATCAAAAGCAACAAGAAACGTAATCGCCGCGATCGTCGGTGGACACGGGACATTCCGGATGATGCTTTCGCGTCAAGTCGGTGCAGGACCTTATGCAAACCTCAATAGAATTGATTGGGATTGTTTGCTCTAGAGCGATTTTCGGCCAGGGATTATAGTTGAGCCATTTAGTTCCGTGGTCCAAAGAGGAGGAGAGTCGACTCTCGTGCAAGTACACTTTCCCCCTACCAAATCGTTCGAAACTGGTTTAGTGTTGTCCTGTTCATATGACTGTCAGCAAGTATCGGCAGTATGCGAAGGTAATTACTTTTTTCATTTGTTGATAATCTGTTTATACTCCCCCCCCCCCCACAGGGAGGAATCGCTTTCGTGGCCATCAAGGGGGCGTTCAAGGTCTACTTCAAGCAGCAGCAGTACCAGAGACAAGCCCACCGCAAGATCCTCGACTTCCCCGAGCCGGAGGAGGCCTGAGGCAGTCGGACAAAACGGACTCGGGATCAGTGTCACCCTTCACCTCCCACTCCTCACCCCTCCTGGAGTGATGCTCAGTGCGAAGCCCCCCCACCCTCCGCCTCATGAATTCAAACTGTTGATGCTGAGGGAGAGGAGACGAAGAGAGGAGGATGAGACATGGAAGCATGTTAGCAGTCGGCGTGACTGTCAATAACTAATACTTATTGTAACATAACTGTATTTTAAAGATAGAGAAATGCGGGGCATGTGTAATTAAAGACTTTTACAATTATAATAAATTATTGTCTTATGATTATTTTGAAGAGATCCCTTTGCAATTGTGGAGGAATAAAATGTATGGACCAATGAGACGTGTTCATTCTGCAGAAGATATGTGTCCTGATGATGAACCCCTGCTTTATGTGGGGACTGTTTGATCTCCTCTCATGCCTTCAGTGTTCATCGTCTGCAGCTTCACAAACACTCAATGTTCTTTTTAAAGCTTCACAGCACTGCCCGTGTTTTGGTGGAGCCCGTTGCCATGACGCTGTCTCTAACAGATGGGTGGATATTAGACGCTTGTTGTCTTTGCAGAGACTTTTACAGCGACCGGATGTTGGAATGAAAGCATCTCTGAAGCTACGGAGGATTCATTTACTGAGATGTTGCTGAACTATTCAGTCTGAACTGATCCCAGGTCAGACTGAGGCTCTCAGGAAGTTACTATGAAGAAATGGAAACGGACACTATTCATTGAGAACGGCTGATGTCAGGACACCTACAGGAAATTAAAGCGTCGGTGCAACCAAATAAAAACAAGCCACATGTTCTCCCTATGTCTTTTCATGCCTCAATGCCTTTTCAAAGTTTCTATGGAAGCCTTGAGGCTCAAGAGAAGTGATATGAATACTTCTCTCCTGTGCTTAATATAAATGTTAAAAATCTTTCAAATGGGTGGGTAAAAAATATTTGCCAAGATAATATAAAGAGTAACCTTGTGATTGGGTAAAAAGATTTTAGGAATGTATTCAGTAAAAAAAATAAAGCTTTTAAAGGACGTCTACACTCATAGGGGAATATCAGTTCTGATTGGTCAGTGCTTTCGTTTGAATGCTCCTACAAAATAAGAGCATTGAGAATATTAAAACCTGGACAAAGTGTGAAAATGTCTTATTAAATTAAATGAGCATAGCACAACAGTAAGTGGTTTAAATCATGTGATTAACTATTTCACTTTGTGGTAGTTTGTGCACAATCTGACCAGCTGCTGTTTCCTGCCTCAGCTGGAAACATCAGTGTGTGATGTACAGGCCTGTATATTTATTGTGCACACACACTGCTTCACACAAGTCCCCCTCCAGTTGATCCACCATCACTCTGCCAAAAGAGACTTCCTGTCTATGGTATCGGTTTATCTGTGAATAAACGTCTTTTTCCAAGTGCATGAGTTGAGTTTGTTCTGAAATTCAAATACGGACTATTTTCTCTGAACTCAAAAAAATGCATTCCTATGTGGCCCTACAGCTCTTCTGTATTTTGTTGACTAATCATAAATGCAAAAGGTGATAGTTGTTAATGATCAGGTTGAGAAGTGCTGGACAACATTGAAGAAGCTTTTGGAACAACAGGTACAAACATAACTTAAAGACGGATAAGGACTTGAATAGTGATTTGAAAGACATTTGAAGGATAAAAGTGTTTTTATTTGTAATCAATCACTATTAAAACTGAATGTTAAAAAAAGAAGAAAACAGCATAGAGGTTCCCCTGAGGTTTCTGAATGACATCCTACTGTAAAATGCAATAAAATCAATGTGACCAGCTGACCTCCTCAAAAGGGTCCCAACATTTTATAAGCATTTCAAAACCTGCCAGGATTAAAAACAATCAAAAAGCATAAACATATTCTTCAGGAAAAGCATTGACTTGAGTGAAATCATGTCTTTGACAGTCCTTTCCTAGTTACATGGAAACATATGAGTCCAAAAGATAAAAGACGTGGTGCTACTGTTAAACTTCAACAACCCCAAACATCACTCCTCAAAGCAGCATGTCTGAAAAGAGAATTCAAATTAAACTCCTCCATGTTCTTCATTAAAAGGGGTGTGGCCTTTTTTCATAGGTTACTATTTCCTCTACACAGTGGTGTGTGTGTGTGTAGCTTCTCAAAGGTGACTGTGCGACCTCTATCTGAGCTACGTCGCCAACATGGTGATTCAAATTAAACACGTTTGTTTCTGATCGTCTCCTCTAGGCTGCAGCCGGACACACGTGCACACGCAGGCTCGGTGAGATGCTGGTCTTCCTGCGTGTGGAGCTGCCCCCCCCCCTCACAGTTTGGCAGCCATGAAGTTGATGTGAGGTTTGACCAGCGGGAAGAGGGGGAGGCTCCTCTTGAACTCTGTCATGTCCTGCACCAGGGTGGGCTGCAAGGGGGGGGGCAGAGTGGAGGTGAAACATGTGAATATGTATCAGTTGTTGATAAAATAAAAACAAAGTGGATATCATAAACAACACACATGTGTCTCAGGGGGCTTTACAGTACACAACCCCCTCTTTCCTGAGACCCTCGCAGTGACAGGTCACATATACCTGAGTAATTCCAAAAAAGTGTTTGTAATTTAGAAAAAGAAATGGAATTTCTTGGCAGTTGAGGAAAAGAATCAATGTATCAGTAGTTGATAAAAAATAAAGTAAACATGTGTTTTATATATATATTTATATATATATATATATATATATATGATCTGTGGTACAGCTGCTCTGCTGACGTTGCTGTGGTGTTGCTATAGAGATAGCGGAGCCGCTGTCGTTGTGGACAGCTCTGTTACAGAGCGCTGCACTGAAAGGTCAAATTATTTACACTTTGACCTTGATTGCTGCTGACCTCTTGACGCATAACCAATCAGATGACAGCTGTATGAGGTGCCGTAAGATAGGAGGTAAGGTAACCATAGTAACAAAATGTAGCTAGCTGTGCGGCCAATCTCGCAGTGAGCAAATCCTGGATCATGTGAAAGCAGCTTTGATCAGCTTGAATATGATTCAGTAGTTTTCAGGTTAAAGGTAGAAGCGTGGTTAAACATGAGGTTACCTGAGGCAAGGAGGGGGCGGGGGCCAGGTTGACATCGTTCTGAGCCGGGAACTCCCCCACGATGGGACCTGAGAACACACAGAGACGGGTCAGAGCCACACAGGAGGAACACACAGAGGGTCTGAATGAAGGGACAGCAGCAGTACTCACAGGAGTCCATCTCTCTGGAGAGGACGTGCACAGAGACCTTGTGTCTCTTCGGGGCGTCCACCGTCAGACTCTCCTGCAGGGACAGGGAGGGGGGGGGGACAGTCAGTGGTTTTCCAATCAGGATACTTAATATATGGGGTTTTGTGATAGTTGCCCCATTTTAGAATGAAATAAAATATTGCAAAAATGAAATAAATATGTATAAAAATAAGTTAAAGATAAATAAAATATAGAAATTATATATATATATATAAAATTCAAAATGTGGACATTCTGCTAGAACTAATACAGTAACTAACCCCTGTGCCTTACTAAGGAAATCTTTTCAGTCACATACTTGACTCTTTTATTACCAGAATCTATTCATATTTAGTATCCATGATTGCTGTAGAAATTAGTTTTCAGATTTAACTGAATGTAAAAATGTTTTAAATCAAAGCATCAGGGCTAGATGCCCAAATTAGTTTTGAGGTGAAACCCCCCACTGTGTATATTTAAAAGTTTCATAATATTCTGTCACTTACACTGATAAATAATCATGATGGCAGTATTATTATTATGTTCACTCTACATGGCAGGATTGCGATGGTGATAATCTGATGTAGGAAAAGGTGTGCATTTGTTGCGATATAAGATGTATTGCAATATAAATGCAACTATTAGTAAATGTGACCCCAGCTGCCACCTCCCCCGAATCCCAATGGAACCCCTGGGAGTGACTCATCACTTTGTTAAACCTCTGGATGACTGTTTCTCACAGTGGTCGGGTGGAGATTGAGCTACATGATCAGCGCCTCCATTAGAGGGTTTGGCTCCCAGACACAACGGTGACTCCCAACCAGTGTTGGGTGTAACGCGTTACAAAAGTAACGGAGTTACAGTAATATATTACTTTTTGCTGTAACGAAGTAATGTAACGCATTACTAATGAAATTTGGGTAATATATTACCCGTTACAATTCTCAGTAACGCAGTTACACAACACATTTTAACCCGAAATTAAATGGTGTTTTGTTTTTTAAGAATTTACAAATATCGCGAGACATTCCGACACCAGAGAAAAAATGTGCGGGTAGATTAATAAACCTGATGCATTGTTTACTATTGGGTTAAGATGGCGGGAGGAACTTTTGAGCGATGGGTGTTCTCACATTATTATCAGTTCATTAGAGAAAAAGAGAAAAACATAATAGTCAAGTGCAATCTATGTTCGTCGGCAGCAAAGGAATTGTCTACATCAAGAAATAGCACTAGCAACTTAAAGAAACACCTGGACCGGTGCCACGCTAACACTAAGTTAGTCGAGAGATCTGCCGGCTCGGAGAAAAGAAAATATACAGAAGACGTGAGTGCAGGCACGCCGAAGCAACACAAGTTAACATTCTCTCGGTCTTCTATGATTCTGGAACCCCGAGAAGTTAAGAAACTCGTGGCAGAGTATGTTGTGGAAGACATGCAATCTCTGTCAACTGTGGAGTCGCCGGCATTTAGAAAACTTGTCAGCAAAATCCCTGTCAACACCACCAATGACAAGGTAAGCTAACGTTGCAATAGAGACTTTTTAATACAGTAGATTACTGGGCCGTGCCGAGGCTGTACTACCATGTTAGCGACCAGCGACGTAATTGTAATGTTGTTATTGTGTGTGTGTG